AGCGTTCCTTTGCAAACTTAATAACTTTATACTCGAGAAATCCTAGATCTAGCAGTAGAATCGCTACAAATAAAATATATTTTAACTCGGGTTTGTGCTCAATTGAAACATTTCGGAGACGGAACTCATTTGATGCTGTGCTGTGTATACATTTTTGAGTCAAAAAATTGCGGACGTTAGTATTTATTTTCGTATTAATCAAAGTTGTTTCTGGCTTACTATGTATTAAGCAAAAGAAGCCATTAACGTTGATCTGTTGGAGGTCTCAAATTATTTTCAGTAAACTAATTTTCCGTTTGGAATTGCACTGAAACTGCAGAGTCTACAGAAACGTCTTTTTCTTAATTATAATAAATAGGTGCTTAATCCGGAAAAAAATAAAATGTTGATTGATAATTAGCATGAAGAACTTCATCAGTATCAATTATTCAAAATTTTCGGACTGTGTGGAATTGAATAATTTCTTGGAAAACACGAAATTAATAATTAACAAATTATTGTGTTTAATTAACAGTAAAGTCTCAATTCTTGTAAATTCCAAATTTCTCAAGGTTTGTTATTTACAGCTTGGCTCATAAAATAACTTTATAATCAACTATCAAGCTTCTCTTCTTATTCTCATTTTCTTGTAATTTGATATCCTATTACTTGGGAGAGCCAAGTCGTCGTCCTACGGTTGAAATAATTTATATGATCAACATTCAATTTATTGTATATGAGATATATTGCATGATTGGATACATTTGACATTTTCGATAAAGAGGATTGATAAAATCTATATGGCTTATTAGCTTTAAGGAAATGTTTTTAGATTGATTAAGTATTTGATTCTTATGTTTAATTTTGGACTTCATCTTTTTTTAATAATTTCTGATTATTTCAATTTTAAAAAATTCTTACAAGTTTCTTTATTACAGCATCATACAAGCAAGCCTTTTGTTATGATTTCTCTTGTGCTGGTATCTCTCTATTGTGTTTGCAAAACTAGCCAGTATTTCTTCTTCTGATTCATCTTCTCTTCATTCTCCTACCTTCTTTCATTACTTTATAAAACAGACATCTCTCACTCTCTCACCATCTGACTAACTGACTGGCTGTTTGTATGTATGTATGAATGTATATTCCATTCAACTTATGTCTGTCTATCTATAAATCTTACTGTGTGTGTGTGAGTGTTTTCATTTCATTACAATTGATGCTACCCATTACAAAACTTAATGTCGAAATGGCATTTGGGGGTGTACGTGTCTTGTATGATTGAATGTTAGGGGTTCAAATTAAATGAATTTTATAATTAGTTTTGAATTGCTGTAATAAATCTACCTTATGGTGCTTGATTACGAATTTACTCATCAAATTCGAGCAACATTTTATTGGAATCTCTACTAAAAGTCTCATTTACACCCTGAAACTGTTATCATTCTTCTCTCTTCTTTTTCTTGCCCTAAATAAGCATTTTAATTTCAATTTCTCTCATTTTCTCATTTTATAAGCTAATTACTTCTTGATAACCCCTTCAATTTTCTGTTTCAATTCCCTGACAAGCTTTTTATTTTTCTTTAATTAAATTGAACAATTTTTCATACTGCTTTCTTTTTTTCCTTTTCCATTCCACCTACGAATATAAAATTATACCAATTCGAAATTTTTCCGAAAAACCCCTTTTAAAATTTTCAACTGACTTTTTTTTTTCTTTTCATTATTTAGACACTGCTGTTGCTTATCGATCCGCTCGCGCGAGGCAACAATTACACCTTTTTTAATATCGTTATTTCATTCTGACTGCTATGGAGTTGAATAAGCAGAAATATAGACAGATGAATGAGCGAATGGATTTTAAGTGTAATTCATACTTAATTTTTTATGTATATTTTTTCCACTGTTAAATCGAAGCCGGACATTTTACACACTGACTGTCCATGAATCATTTTTAATGGCCTTCAGTTGGTGATGTCTGAACAATTTGCTTTTTAGTAAATTGATTTTTTTTTTATTGCTGCAACTTTAAAAAAATTCCTTTTTTGAGAAAGAAACAAAAGTGATGATGATGATTTGAAAATCGATACATTACACACATGCACATAGTCTCACATAGGAATAAATGTAAACTGTGATTAACTATAGGAACTAACCTAACAATTGTTGTTATCTAACGTAATAACTATAATAACGTTTATAAGTAAAACTATTGTTTAGCATGATATGCAAACTACAGTCATTAAGTGTGATTAAATGAAATGAACCTTTCTTTCTTGTATATACCATACCGGCAATAACCGCTCTACACCCTCTCTGTTCTCTCTCCTTTTGCTTAAGCTGAAGTATAAAAGTATAGTCAGGCATCGAATCATTGTTAATTGCGGCATGAAATATGAGTTTTGAGGGGAAAAAAATTCCATTTTTGAAAGTGAAATTTTTCATTTCAGATATTTGGTTATGAGGCTCTAGATTTTTTATTTTTAAATGTATTTCCAAGAGTTGAATATCAATAATCAGAATGAAAAAGTGTTAAAAAAGAATTTGTTTGGTCAAATTGGCATTAAACTTTGATATTTTGAAATTTATTGACATAATTTTTCAAAATAGTCAAATTAATGCTGATTAATTTTTATAGGTGCAGTTTTGATGCACCGCAAAATCTCTTTGATCCACAGTGAATTCATAATGAGTAGCCATAAATCAATAAATAATTGTGGCAAATTTAAATTTTTGATGTCGACTATAAAGTTCAAAATAATCCAAAATTCAAATCAGAACTAATTAGCGTTTTTATGAAGATAGTATAAATATCCATATTTTAACCCAATCAGCATTAAGGTCGAAAGCAAAGCAATAAAATTATCATTTAATCAAGAATCCATTCATAAAAAAAAACTTTTCTAATAAAAATTAGATATTTCCGAATTGTCATTAATTGCAGTACTAAAACCTCCCATGTCGAAAATCTCCATGAGAAATTTCACTGATTTCTTTTATCGACAATAAACCAATTAACATTCAGCTGCTGATTTTTAATCGCGAGTTCTTTATGATAATTTTTTTCGGCAAAAGTTTTATTGGTCAGTCAATTAGTCATCATTTAAAAATATGATGAATGTATAATAAAGTTTTATTTTTAATTAGCGGAAGTGAGAATTTATAATTCCTCATAAAAACATAGAGAGATAGCAGTAGACGAAAAGAGAGATCACGACTCATTAGTCATAATGGCACACATGAAAAAAATGACAAATTATCTCATAAATGTATTTAAAGCCGATAAAAATGATGTCGAAACAGAATTTAAATATCAACAGATTACAAATTTAGATTCTCACAAAAAAAAGTATAATGCTCATCCACTCTCATAATTTTAGTGGTATCATAAAAACAACATTATAATGATAATTATTGTTATTGCTGTTAATTAATGAAAATATAACCCCAATTAATTAATTTCATAATGACATAACAGAAAAAAGCATTTCTCTCTCATTTACGCAATATTATGTACGAATTTCACCTGTCAAAATCAATTAATTTTCATCTTTCCTTTCTCCTTCCTCCATTCCCATTCTCATAGCTCCTATCTCCCTAATTAATTATAATTTAATTTCATTATCAGCAATTGTAGAGTAATTTATGATAGAAAAACACATTTAATGAATAAAATTGGAAATTAATGAAGACTTTTTTACATTTTTTTCTCTGTTTGATGTGGATTTATGGACACGACTCGGGGTCATGATAGCTCGCTAATGAAAAATAAATTTGTGATTTTTTTTTTTTGCCTCAAAGTGCCGATGTTTATTAAGTGACTAAGTGAGAATTCTTTGCTGAACGATTTCTGGTGTAGATTTAATAAGAACAATTGTTATTGTGATATGATTGCTTTACGCCCCGACGCTTCTGATGAGATCAACAACCAGAATTTAGAAAGTAATTATTTTATCGTGAGACTCCAATGGTCAGGTTTTTGTACTTCAGTGATTTAAGTAATTATATGTGCAGTCATGTAATGTTTGTTGTGATCAGTTTCAAATAGAACGTTCTTTCTTATGAGAAATGGTGGAATTTTAGTTTAAACAAACATACACTATGCCATCTTAATAGCTAATAAGCGCAGCTTTGTTCGTTAGTGTATAAATTCAACAAGCGTCGGGTTTGATTGTTTAGATCTCATATGTCATCACTTAGAGGTGTGAAAATGTGGACAGACTATTGTGGATGTAAAATAATACGACTCACTAAACGGCTAAGAAGTTTGATGGACATTTTTTTATGGAATTTGCCAGTTTCCGCTCATAATTAATTCTTTCATTCATTCAAAAGGCATAAAATCCAAATTACATTACAATTATTATACCCAAAGAAATTATTTGATGATAATAAAAATTTTATTGCCATCCCAACTATCATATTATATATTCATCGCAAATTCCAATAAAATTTAATGCAAACGATTTCTTTCATTTTTAAGGCTCTTGCCATACCTTTTATCTGTTATAAAATTTCAATATGCTATGGAAACCTCAATAATAAAATAAAAAATAACTTTTTTCTCCTCAATTATGTTGATAAAATTATCAAAACACGACTGTGGCGAAGGGAAAGAAGGAGATGGGTCTATAGAAATTAGTAAAACTACAGCAATTAACAATAAAATATTTTCCTCCTTAAAAAAACTTTCATTCAATTATTTTCTTCAATTGGAGTGACTGCTTTGTATTTAATGTGATAGTAAACTTTATAGTCGGTTTTTTTTTGTGAATTGTAAATGTCAATTATGGCTCATTCCAAAAGCAATTCTCTCTATTGATGAGTATGAAAAGAGCTTATCATACCAAACAAGAGAATGTCAAACGACCCGACCAGAAAAGAATAAAGAAAAGTTGATTGCACAATAACAAATTAGCTGAATAAATAGTTAGAGTCACAATTTATATTTATTCATACGTGCTGACTCGAGAGAGAGAGAGAGACCGGAGAAATATAAAATGAATAATTTTTTGTGTGTTTACCTTAACATTCAGTTAATTAGCTGTTAATGTCAATGCTAATTTGCGTTCATTGACTCTTATCGACTCCTTTTCGTGCTTTTTTTTCTGTGTGTGCCTCAAAATGATTCTCTTAATTGTGGCCTTCTTGACTTCTTTTCTTCTTTTTATTAATACTTCTTTTTTTCACAAATCTTGGATCTTCGTGCAGTTCGAAAAGCAATTTAATTAGTTATTCATTTAATCCAGCTTTTTTCGATTCTTTTTTTTTTATTGTTCAACTTATTTTTTCTCACTATCCGAAATAAAAAGTTCTGAATTTTTCACTGCCACAGATTATTTTTTAATTCACTGACAAAACAAAAAAATAATTAATTAATTAATGGTCAATTAAATTGCCTTATATTATTCCTCTGAAAGAGTAATAGTGATTTTCTAGCAAATGCCAATTGTTGCTGATTCTGCTGTATTTTATTATGTGTTTATTTATCTTGATGGCATAAAATCAAAAAAAAATGCTGTTGTTGTGTATTTTAATTTAGAGGCTAATTAAGCAATAGCATCGAATATGTATTATAGAAAAAAAAGATTATTTTTAGATTTTTTTGCGCTTTACACTGAATATAATTGTGATGTGAAAAAAGTGTAGAAATATTCTCAATTCCGGTATGTATATGTGGATTGTATGTTGTGTATTATTGTTGCATATATATCTGAGAAAAAAATTCTCCACGCGGTTTGTGATGAAACTCTTATTTTGTGTGAACAGCAGAAGAGAAAAAAAATCTGTGTCTTTATTTTGCCGCGCGTTCAATTCAAGCCACAGTTTTTATTTTATTTTATTTTAACGTGTGTTTTATTTATAATTTTTCTTACTTGATTTCTTCTTTATTTTCAATTTAATGTTTCAGACAGGCGGCAGAATACAATAAAAAAATTGTTTTTACGAATTTTTTTTGCCGTTTTCTTTCTTATTTTGGCTAATAATAATTACAGAAATTGATTTTCTTTATTTTGATTCTCGACTCAATTTACAATCAAGCACAAATTTGTTTTCTTCATCAACATTTACTGTTTGTCTATTATTTTGATGCTTGCAGTGATTCACTAAACGCGTTCGTTCCGTCTTATCGCTTTTATGATAATAATTTCATTTGCCGTAAATGCAAGCATATAAGTATCGCGTTCTTTTTAAACTCTTTATTTCCAAAAACAACTGATTCTAAAATGATTCTTTCGATGAAATCGATAAAATCACAAAACGCATGTACACGACACGATAATCAAAAGTAGACTGAATAACGAACTATAATGTGCTTCATGAGTTAACGACTGACTCAGTATTGAGTTTAGAGCGCAAGAGAGAATTTTGAGAGAATTATTTTCTCACTCATACAGACACAAATCCGGCAATTTTGGTAGCTCGAAAAAAATCCTCGCAATTATTGTGAGCATAAAAATTTTATGTTTTTCTTTTTCTTCCTCACTACAGAGACCGCATGGACGTGCTTCATCTAAATAGAATATCAACAACATTTGAAAATAACCAAAAAATGTTCGTCGTCGCTCGTCGTATTCTCAAGCATTAATATTGTATGATGTAGACGGACTCACATTTTACATTCTATAGACGTAAGGATTTTTGTACTTTTCTCATTCGGAAATATTTTAGAATTTCTGTTTCTGTCTCTCAAATGCTCAATAATTTTTATGCTCTTCTTTTTCTCTCTTCTGTCTCCTCTCCCTACATATATATTGCGTGTTTGTATTTTACAACAATAATAGAAAATTAATGTAAAGAATAGAATGGAGTAAATGAGAGAGTGAGGGAATGGGGAAGAGGAATAAGAAGACAGCAAATAAAAAATACAAGCATAGGAAGAGAAAAATAGTCAGTCGTCTACCAAATTCAAGTTTGTTCCCTTCTTTGTCCCGTACAGTCAAGCACACACATATACACAAATAAATTTTAATTGTATTTAACCTTGAAGTCAATTTTAATTGGATTTTTTTTTCATTACATATATTTCACGTCATATTAGGAAATGAAGCATTTGATGGGGTGGAATTTCTCATTTCAGTTTTTGTTATTATATTTTAAAGAATTACTCATTTTTTTCTTTATCCGTTGCGTGTTTAATTTTAGTGTTAATATGATTCAGGATGGGCATTATGAGAATAATTTGAGTAAGAGGTTCTTCACCTTTAAATTAATCAATATTATAGCTAATGCATCAAGGGGGTTATATTGAGTCATAAACTTAATTAAATTTAACTTTTTTTTGGTTATTGACTGTTAAACATGAACTCAATTATAGTTTCTTTATGAATTAACCCTTGAGTCATCACATTTAAATTCATTAAGGTCCTATTGTTGGCAATAAAGTCGAAGTCAAACCAGTTTACAATTCATATTTTAAGCCTCACATTTAATAATTAAATTTATTGGGTGTTGAAAAGTCATTTTAATTAATTTTTTGCTTCTATTGATGAATTTTTAAACGGCTCATAAAAAATAAATTATTACTTGAGTGTTAATCAACTGTCAATGCTCATTAAAATTTTTAATTATGTGTAAAAAATATGATGATATGCGATCATTTTGAGATTTAATTGGTGGTTTTATTAAAAATTAATGTAAATTGGGGTGATCTGTAATGATTCATGTAAGTTTACAATAATTGCATGGATCATCTCGCTCATCAGCTGTTGTAAATTGTTTTACCACTTCGTATAATTTTTATTTGAAATGCCAATTATTTAATAAGTTTCAATTGTAAAGATCTTACACAAGATCTTATGTTATGTTAGATGACAACCTAGCAAATAATGAAGATTTTAAAACCTTCATTAATACCAATACATTGATATTGCAAAATAATAAAATGTAGCTACATATTAATTATTAAAAACAATTTCTCTGATAAAGACCCCAATAAGTCATCATAAAAGTACTCTGATGAGAACATTTTTAAAAAATGCCTGTTCTTAAAAAATCTTGACCTATACTTTATTTTTGCACTTAACGCTGTAAATTTTCTTCATCCATGAACATTTCTGATGATATTATCATCACCATTATTTTTGTCCAAAACAGAGGTAGGGTAAGTTAAATGCCTATCACCAATTTTTTCAGTTGATTTTTGAATAGACATTTTCTTGTTTCTGCTGTTTATTTTTTTAATCAAAGTTTAACAAAAAATTCTTTTAATTTTTTTTTTTGATTTGATTTGAAAAAAAAAATACTAATGATTATTTGAATCAATTTCCCATGAAATTTTTATATTGATATTCAAAATCTAGACATGCTATTTTACATAAAATAGAATCAAATTTCTCTGTTAATTTCTAAACGATTACTATTAATAACTTATAGGGTAGCTTTGCTTAATCAAAAGTTAAAAATAATTCAGACTTGTCGTTTTACAATTGATGATGATAATACACAAGAATATAAGGAATAGTAAGAAGAAAATCCTCGAAGTAGAATTTTTGAGGGCCCGAAAGTGAAGAGAAGAAAAACGGAGAAGACGGAAAAAATTTATGACGCCCTGCGATCCACATGAAAAACCCGACTTTAACCATCGTGCAATAAATAATTAATCAAATTTTCTGATTCTTTTTTCCTTTTTTTCTCCTCTTCTCTCCGCCATACTTCGTGTGGCGGCATGCATGTTCTCATAAATTTACGTAATTGTATTCATTATATGCTAATTTAATTCAACTGCCATGGCACATATACGTATGTACACATATTTTTTCATACATTTTAACATCGTCGAAGACACACATTTAAATATACATTTATTTTACATTTTATATTATAACATTGAATTTTTTACATACAATACAACACCAGCGAGAGCTATGACTGAGTGCTAGGAGAAAAAAAAACGACCAGAAATTCCTTTTTTACGTGACACCAAGAAAATTGAGACAATTTATGCCGTTCGGGTTGTGCGGTGAAAAAAAAAATAAAATTTATATAAAAAATAATTTTTTCACTTCCTCTGTGTATTCATTTTTTATACTTTTTAGTTGATGCTACGTTACTCTGAATTTTCAATGAAAATTTCTCATTTGTTCCAATAAGGTGGAAAGAAAGTAATGAGGAGGGAAATTTCAGTCGAGGAGCACACAAGTTGGGTGAAACTTTCGAAATTAAAAAGCTAATGAGCATTTTAAATTTCATATCATCTCAAATCGAGTAGACATCAAGGAACCACTGACTAAAGATGCTCTAAAGATTATGGTAAATTGATCCATCCAATATCCATAATTTTCCCAAAATTTATTTCAGTTCAGCACATAAAATCCATGACAATCCGAAACATCAAAATTCAATTCCGTTCCGAGAAAATTTGTTGAAAAATTTCCATTCAACAACAGAGAAAAGGAGACATAAATGAATAAAGGAGGTATTGCGTCTGTATATAAATAGCGCGAATTTTTCTTCTCCTTCTTTCCTTTCGTGCCTTCCTAAATGACTCATAATTGAACCTCAGAGATTTTTTGTTGACTTTTTGTTTGTTATTTATTTTTCGTACGCTGGTTTATTCCTTCTGTATTGGTACATGCACGTCCACACACATGTAGAGAAGAATACTCCTTGAGTAGCGGAAATAATGTTCCCTGGCTCTAATAATTTTCTATTTGGTGTTAATTTTCCGCTTCAATCATTTCCCAATTATGTCCAATTGAGCTTATAGTAATAATTATAATCAAAACGACTTGTTTATGTGTGAATTTCTATGCTTAATTAATTGCAGCATCCAAGAAACACAATATTTTACAAACCCCTTCCTTTGAACTTTTCCTGTATTTTTACAGAGTTGGGATTTTTAATTTTAAGAAAAGTCTTTGGCAATAACCTAGGGCAAAAAATAATTTTAGAAATTAAAAAAGTCCCACAGACATTACTTTGATTTCATGACCTTTATAAAATTGATTATATGCCCTACATCAGCACCAACGCTGATTATCTGTTTTGGAATATTTCTTAGTGTAATGAAAGCTTCAAGTCATTCTGCAATAACGCAGAGACACAAACACATAAACACAGACAATATTCATACAATCAAGGAATGTGATATCAGATGAAGTTTTCTATCATGCTATTTTCAATTATGATTCTTGTTCACAACAGCACACAATACACGACTAAATTTTCTATGGTTTTTTGGGAGGATTTGAACTGACTGACTGAATGAGATGAATGAAAAGCATGGATAGATGTGAAGGTGGTAAGGAGATTTTTTTTCTTCTTAAGCTTCAAATAGAGATGGAAATAATTTTTTCCTTCTACCTAATTTTTTTCTTTTTAGTTGACTTGTCTATTTACAGAAAATGAGCTTA